ATGGAGATCATATCCCCCTTATGTATTATACATGGAGATCATATCCCCCCTTATGTATTATACATGGAGACAATTTTATCCCCCCTTATGTATTATACATGGTGATCATATCCCCCCTTATGTATTATACATGGTGATCATATCCCCCCCCTTATGTATTATACATGGAGATCATATCCCCCCCCTTATGTATTATCCATTGTGAGATCATTATCCCCCCTTTATGTATTATACATGGAGATCATATTCCCCCTTATGTATCATACATGGAGATCATATCCCCCCTTATGTATTATACATGGAAATCATATCCCCCTTATGTATTTATACATGGAGATCATATCCCCGACTTATGTATTATACATGGAAATCATATCCCCCTTATGTGATTATACATGGAAAATCATATCCCCCTTATGTATTATACATGGAGATCATATCCCCCTTAATGTATTATACATGGAGATCAAGTCAGAGCAGTTTCCTGGCCGGAAGGACATCCAGCATCATCTAGGTCTTTTCTGCCCAGCCTGAATACCTGGCCCGCTCCTTTCATTTGTTGGATTCCAGCTCCTTCAATCATGGAGGCTCTGCATCATATGTGGGCATCAGCTAGGGAGGTCTGTATACAAATGTAGCCTTGCTTAGAAATACCCGCTCCTCCAGACTGACACCCACCCATCAAGGCATGTTGATATTTGTATAACATTTCCTGCTACATGCAACAGGGATGAGAGCTCTTGAGGAGTACTGAGGCAGGGTAAGTCGATAATTGCAGGAAGCTAGGTACAGTAAACTGCCCGGCCCTGTAACCAGCCATGATCTGCCTGCACTGCATAGAGAAGCACAGAGACCCAGTAATGACATTGCTGGGTTGCATAATAAATGGTGCATAGGGAGTAACAAGCAAGATAACATTACTTAAATTCCGAAAATGTATTTTTAGTTTTGGATAAAAGTAGAAAATGGGCTAAAGCTCCTGACATCCCCCCCCCCCCCCATATTATTTTTAGATCAGTTTAGACTTGCCTTTGCTTCCGGTCCCAGAGACATGACAGGAAGTTAAAGGAAATCTCCCAAACTGAGAGGAATGGAAATCTTCTAATGGGAGCACCGATCTCTTGTTCTGGGGAGAGGTCCTAGGCCCCATTCCGACTCTGGAATTGCCGGAAGAATTGTCACGATCTCCTAGAGTGTAAGCTCCAAGGCTCAGGCCCTCCTATCCCTCTTGTATTGTTGCTGTATTGTCTCCCGTTATATTGTAAAGCGCTGAGGAAACTGTTGGCGCCATATAAATCCTGTATAATAATAATTCCAAATCGCTGTAAAAAATTGCGGTAAAAAACCCCCCCAAAAAAACACCCACCGCGCATTTGGGTGCCATTTATTCTTCATGGCACCCCAAGAATGTCTACCCTGACATGTACCAGGGATGGGGCACTATTTTATCCACCGACAGCAATCAAGGGGCACTATACCATCCACCGACACCAGTGATAGGACACTATTCCATCCAGTGACACCAGTGATGGGACACTATTCCATCCAGTGACACCAGTGATGGGACACTATTCCATCCAGTGACACCAGTGATGGGGCACTATTCCATCCAGTGACACCAGTGATGGGGCACTATTCCATCCAGTGACGGGGGCACTATTCCATCCAGTGACACCAGTGATGGGGGCACTAATTCCATCCACCGACACCCACGATGGGACACTATTCCATCCACCGACACCCACGATGGGACACTATTCCATCCACCGACACCCACGATGGGACACTATTCCATCCACCGACACCCACGATGGGACACTATTCCATCCACCGACACCCACGATGGGACACTCTTCCATCCTCCGACACCCACGATGGGACACTCTTCCATCCTCCGACACCCACGATGGGGCACTAATTCCATCCACCGACACCCACGATGGGGCACTAATTCCATCCACCGACACCCACGATGGGGCACTAATTCCATCCATCGACACCAATGATGGGGCACTATTCCATCCACCGACGGAGCAATATTCCATCTACCGACACCAATGAAGGGGCACGAATACATCCACTGATACCAATGAAGCAGCACTGTTCCATCCACCGACACCAGAGATGGGGCACTATTCCATCCACCTTCACCAGAGATGAGGCACTATTCCATCCACCGACACCCACGAAGGGGCACTATTCCATCCAATGACGCAATTGATAGGGCACTACTCCACCCACTGACACCAATAATGGGGCACTATTCCTCATCCTACCGACCACAGGCAATATGCAACTGAACACTATGCCCGCGGCATTGTTTGCTATCACTGTTGCTGGGCCTAGGACATCTTCTACCCGCACTGGCCACAATCTGATCCCCCCCCCCCCCCCCCGCCCCAAAGTCCAAAGCACAGTAAACTGGTCCTTGGTTTGGAAAGTTTAGAGACCCCGTAGGTTGGGGGTTCAAAGGATGCATATTTTGAACACATTTTGTCCTTGGTTTGAACTGACCAGGGGTCTTTTTTGCAACCAATGCAAAAGTATATGTATATATTTAAAAAAATATATATTAAAAAGAAAAAAGACAGATATGTCTTTAATAACCCAAAATACCATTTAATAATAAGATATCTTTTCACATTGAGAAAAATGAGGCATTGCTCAATACCATCGGGTAGAGTTAACTTCGTACTTCAATCTCTCATTATCTGAGAGGTTCCTTGTTTTGTGCAGAATCAGCACTATTGCACTTCACAGAGTAATACCCAAAGGTAACAGCAGGTGGCAGTAAATGGGAGCAGCTCCCTGTCTTCCAACGTCAGCAAATGAGCCTTGACACCAACTTGTTGGTTTGTTCACAGTATGGCCAACGTCTACCCTGACATGTAAATGTCAGATATACATTTAGGAGATTGTTCTCAGCATCTGAGGCTCAATAGATCGTCCCGAAAAACAAACAGGAAAAAAAAGTGGAATGCGTCAATCCATTGAAATATACATAAAAACAAGGCTGTGCTATTGGGTTAGAGGCGTCAGGTGACGTTGTGTGGTCTGTAGGGTGTTCCATCATTGCCTTGCATGAGGTACACATTTGGTAAGTTGAGTTCGCGGGTTCACTCAAAGATTGCAAATCACGACTTGAGCTTGACCGCTGAAAGAGGTCAGCATTAATTCTGGGCTAAGATCATCAGAGGTGGTAGCACCAGCTGAAAAATTCCAGCTCTTAATGGAAAGTGGTGGGTTTAAGACAATAAAAGTCATGCCCCGTCTCCGAGAGGGGGCTGGAGACGAGTCCTATCCATGTCCAGGGCGGTTATCTGGAAGACTATGAGCCGAGGTTACAGTAGACTTCACACAAAGAGGTCCCCAGACAAGATGGTTGGTCACCACAAGCGGAGATGGTAACCATTGGCCACAAAGAAGACGAGAAGACCCTTGAGGTCTCCAGATGGTTGGTCACCACATGCTCAGACGGTTAGAAGACCCTTGTTGAGATTCCCAAATGGATCCAACAAGCAGCCGCTGGTCGGTGCCGAACCTTTACTTAGGAGGTTTGGCACTGCATGGGGTGGTAGGAGTCATCTTCTTCATAGACCTCCCTTCTGTGTTGGTGTCTCTGGTCCTCACGTGGATCGTAATCTGTTAGGTTGACGTCCTCTGTGTTATCAGGCAAGTTTGGCTTTGACTTTGATGGGAATAAGTCTTGAAGCTCTTGCAGACGGTCAGCCGGAATCCAGCCAGGTTTAGGGAATTTGACCTGAAAAATAAAGTAAAAAGGTCTAAAATGTTAAAATAATAAATGTTACTTATCAATAATAAACTTGAGCCTGGGATGATGCAGACAAGTTAACATCATGTCTGCAGCCCCGCTTTACATCAGAGGTTCCCTATAAATGAGAGCCCCCATCACTTAAGAGTAAAAATGGAAACAAAAGAGGGCCCAGGAGCTACACATCACACAAAACCCCCATGCGATGAGTACAGGCAACCTATACTTAGCCCAGGCCACACCCTTCCCCCTACACGTTTCGTCCCCCCCCACAGGGCTTAGTCATGGGAATACCTTCATGAAAGAGTACCTCCATAAAAGAGTAGCCCATGGCAAAGTACCATCATCACCACAAAGTCTAACCATCAGAGACTCCTCTCATTACATCAGAGTCCACTCTTTATCACAGAATATCCTTTTCACATCAGAGCCCTACCTTTTGGCTCCAGTAGTAAAAGCAGAGGTCCGGAGGAAACGGTGGGCCTGCATGCCACCTGCCCTGGATCAGAGTCCTGCATTGCCATGGTGTGTGCGGACTACCCATCAACACCATACTCAGCCCAGGCCACACCCTTCCCCCTACATGTTTCGTCCCCCCCCACAGGGTTTAGTCATGGGAATACCTTCATGAAAGAGTACCTCCATAAAAGAGTAGCCCATGGCAAGTACCCTCATCACCACAAAGTCTAACCATCAGAGACTCCTCTCATTACATCAGAGTCCACCCTTTATCACAGAATATCCTTTTCACATCAGAGCCCTACCTTTTGCCTCCAGTAGTAAAAGCAGAGGTCCGGAGGAAATGGTGGGCCTGCATGCCACCTGCCCTGGATCAGAGTCCTGCATTGCCATGGTGTATACAGACTACCCATCAACACCATAGCAGCCAAGGAAGCGGTGCGTCCTGCCCTAGAGCATCACTGGCTATTACGGTGCTGGCTCGCCTGCATCTTGACAACTCATGATGCTGGTCCAGGGCAAACTGGGATCTTTGTGCAACACCCCAGAGGAACCCACATGGCACCCCAGTTGAGAAACACCTCTCTAGACACAACAGTACTGGAGTACCATTAAAAATAATCAATGTCACCGTAACACACTGCGGTTGCACCGTACTATGCGTTGTATGCAACGCATAGTAAGGTGCCAGATCACCGGTTCACGACCACAAGTAGTGTGCGATTTATTGTGTGTCAATGGGCTCAAAATCTTTTTGATACACAGAAGATTATACAGCATTTGCTACCTTGATCTGGATGATGAGGTTTCCCTTCTCAAAGGGATCGCGGTACTTGGGCATCCCCTCTTTCAGAATACATTTCGTTTCGCCGGGTCTGATCACTTTGCCTAAATAGAGAAACAGGAAAAAGAAACTGGTGTGAATCTGGAAGTGCAAAAAAAAAAAACAGCCACCCCGCTCAACCACACACAGCTTGTGGTTGTGAACCGCTGCTGCTCACGCTTAAGTGCCTTCACACTCCAATAGTGATGCAATGATAACATCGAGCCGGCTACTCAGTGAAATCCATTCGAGCAAATCTTTAATCGGCTGCAAAATTGGGTACAGCACGCTAATGTCTTTAGGCTAGAAAGTCTTGCTCATGAGTAAGGCTTTTTAGCCGAAACACGTTGAACAATGCCAAGAGTAAGGCTTTAGAGAGAAAAGCCTTACTCATGGCATTGAGAAATACCATGAGTAAGTGTCAGGGCTCTGTCCACAGGAGAGGTATTTGGACACCTGGCATTCTTGCCAGTACCTTGCATGGCCCGCAGAAATGCACGCTGGCGAAAATCTATGCGCACTGGCGCACGGAACATGCATGTGCACTAGCGCATAGTTACGCACACATTAGCTCAGTTTGGCGCCAGATGGCCTATATAAGGAAGTCCATCACTCCCTCAAATTGCTGCTTGATCTCTGGCTCCCCAGTACCTTCGTCCGTGTTCCCTTGCTACTGTGATCTGTTACCGATTTGGCTTGTTCCTGCACCTGTCTTCTGTGCTTGACTCCTCATCTGACCTCAGGTTGGCAAAGATATTCTCACCTGATCTCCTGATCTGACCTCAGCTTGGATAATAGATATTCTCACTTGCTCTCCTGTGTATGACCCCGGCTATCCTATCGACTACGTCTGCTCCAATCTCCACCTGGCATCTGACCTTGGCTTTGAGCCGACTACTCTGTGGTCCTCTGCTACCTTGAAGGCCTGCATACCTCTCACGTGGCGCCACCTGTCTGCAGACACCATTCCAGTGCATCAGCTGTGCTCCTGGGTGTACCTCTGACAAGCACTCCTACAGGCGACCCGTGCTACTTTGGGCCTGAGTCCTTCTGTCCCATATCCAGGGAGTCTGGAACTTAGCCACAAGGGAAGCCCTCTCTCCTTTGACCTCGAAACACCGTGATAGTGTGATAGTAATGTTTTTAGCGTGTTACTGCCGTACCCTATTTTGTAGCCAATAAAGATCTGTACCAATGCATGGTCACCAAGTAGTCGGCTCGATCTTCTTGTAAAAGCAACGCTTTTGTTACCCTACAAAACAGATAACTGCATGTGTATTTTTTGTGTCTGTGTCCCTTCATTTCCTGTCTCAGACAGAACATGAGAAGAAATTCTCTTAGTTGTCACCTCAATAGATGTCCCCAGAGGAAGATTTCGGTTTGTCTGTTCTGGTGACCACGGTAACATTTTTTTCCTATCACATTCTGTTTACCAGAACAAATATTTACTAAGCCAAGACACAAATAGACCAACACCACTATTTATGATCACTTGGACCTTTTGTTCAGATGCCCTAAAAGACTTCTGTTGGACTGACTAACTGGATGGAGACCTTTTGCAGACCAGGATTGGTCTTATAATTCTGCGTATATCAGAGAATTCCTAGGAATCTTCTCTATGGAATTCCATACCAGGCCAGGAAAAAGGGAATCGCAGGGTGGTCTACTGATCCTGCCCTACCACACCCCATGTGTAATAACAGTGCAAGAAACGAGAAGCAATAATGGGACTCCGAACCTGGCTGTGATGTTACGAGGATGGTCCTGCCGTCCAACGTCTGGACTTTCTGCTTGCATCCGCAGAGGGCATCAGCGAGAGAGATCTCCATCTGCATGAGCAGATCGTTGTCCTTCCTCTGGAAGACCGGATGTTCTTTCTGCTCCAAGACAATGATGATATCACCAGGCTGGAGACCAGGACCCTGATCCCCTTCACCATGAAATATCATCTGCTGTTTGTTCTTCATACCTGGAAGAGAGGATGTTAAATCATTCCATAAGTAAGTCCTTTGGAAAAGGACACCATGACATCTGCAGATAAAAACACCAAAAGTGCTCTGGATGTAGACAGCACAATTGTTACCTGGATAGCAAGGGGGCTGCAACTCTGTGGTTCTGGGATCAATTCCTACCAGGGACCACATCAACTATGGGATTGTGAGGGTTCACTCCCAAGTTACGAAGACATGCTTTTGGCTTTTACCCAAAAAATGGCTCTAGTGTTTGTAATATTGGGACAGCAACATTAGGACTGTGTAGATTGTAAAGCTCTTCCCATAGGCTGATATAGATCCTGACTTTCTCAACCAGGGTTCCATGGAACCCTAGAGTCCCTCCAAAGGTTACTAGGGGTTCTTTGAGCTTTGGCTTACTTGATCCCCGATCTGACAATGCCCAGATAGTTCCAGGTTAACGCAAGGCACGTTTAGCGCTTGAGCGTTAATTCATTTCAATGGCCAGAATAAATTATGCTTGTAAACGCACCTAAACGCTTTAAAAAGCCTTATACACTTTTACAAGCATCAGCTGCTTTTTCTTCCAAAAATGCTGCTGCCAAGAGGACGAGCATTTTTAAAGCGTTCTGTGTGCATGAGGCCTTAATCCTCCGTCAAGTAACAAGGGGCGAAATAGGCCATCTACGTCCAACCGGAACAAGGGGCGAAATAGGCCATCTACGTCCAACCGGAACAAGGGGCGAAATAGGCCATCTAAGTCCAACCGGAACAAGGGCGAAATAGGCCATCTACGTCCAACCGGAACAAGGGGCGAAATAGGCCATCTACGTCCAACCGGAACAAGGGGCGAAATAGGCCATCTACGTCCAACCGGAACAAGGGGCGAAATAGGCCATCTACGTCCAACCGGAACAAGGGGCGAAACAGGCCATCTACGTCCAACCGGAACAAGGGGCGAAACAGGCCATCTACGTCCAACCGGAACAAGCGGCGAAATAGGCCATCTAAGTCCAACCGGAACAAGGGGCGAAATAGGCCATCTACGTCCAACCGGAACATGGGGCGAAATAGGTAATCTACGTCCAACCGGAACAAGAAGCGAAATAGGCCATCTACGTCCAACCGGAATAGCGGGTGAAATAAGCCATCTACGTCCAATCAGAACAGGGGGGGGCAAAATGGCCATCTACGTCCAACCAGAACAAGGGGTGAAATAGGCCATCCACGTCCAACTGAAAGGAGGGGTGAAATAGGCCATCCACGTCCAACTGAAAGGAGGGGTGAAATAGGCCATCCACGTCCAACTGAAACGAGGGGTGAAATAGGCCATCTGCGTCCAACTGAAATGAGGGGTGAAATAGGCCGTCCATGTCCAACTGGAAAAAGCGGTGAAAAAGGCCATCTATGTCCAACCGGAACAAGCCGCGAAGGAAGTCATCTGCATCCAACTGGAAAAAGAGTCAAAAGAGGCTATCTACGACCAAATGGAACAAGCGGGGAAAGGGGTCATCTACGTCCAACTGGAACAAGCATTTAAGGCATTCAACACCATCTGTCTTCCACATATAATGTTGTTTTCACATCTCTACCCTGGCAATTTGACATTATGGGTTCTAAGAGGTGTTCTTGTACTTTTGGAAGAATCAGGAGAAAGGGTGACTTGGCTCAGTTTTTATATTATAGAAGAAAACAATGCTCAATGGAAAATTGTTAGGGTACAAGAATCCCATGCAACGGAAATACCCTGAAAAAGAAACCTACATGTCCCTACTTATCCAAACCTTCTTCCTGCAACTTCACCTGCTCCTACCTTCTCTAACTATCTCTTTCCCTACTTCCTGCCTCACTCCAAGTGCACCAAATGACATTGGTCCCTATATTTATATGGGCCTTCCTCAAGATGGCAGCACAAATCTGTCACATAATTTCGGTATCCACTAGGATCACCATCGTCCCCAAGATGGCCTTGTATAGGCCAAGAGAGACATATTCTCACCATCGGACTCCTGCCAACCTGAAACAGCAGAATGGTGCCACCTTCAGGTTAGATGCCATACTGTCCCTACATGTTCACAGATTCAGCCATAAGACTAGAAGGTTCAACACCTATGCAGACCCCAAGAATGGGATTATGTAACCATTGGAAAGTGTTGGGTCGAGGTTCGGGATCCTGCAAAGCAACTCAAGTCTTGATAAATTGGAGCCCAGTTTTATGGTACAGAAGACTTGCAGATGAAAATACCAACCTTTGTCTATGTGGACTGTCAAGATTTTCTTCTCCCGCACCACCTTCCTACCATCACAATGGCGGCACCGATCGCGCGGCCTTATGCATTCGCCCTGGCCATTGCAGTCTGAACAGGTACTCTGGATGGAGTGCAACACCCCTGGAATCCGACCCAAAACACGCACCTCCACGCCCGTTCCCTGACACCTGCGGCACAGCACTTCCGATCCCTGACGGGCGCCGGACCCTGCCAAGAAAAAAGGGCATTTAAAGTGAATGCATAGTGGGTTTGTGCGTAAATTCGCTTTTTTGCCAAGAAAATATGAAACGGCTATTATGTAGTTCTTTATCCAGCCAGCAGATGGAGCCAGTTTATGGAACTCAATGAATCATCAAAACTGAATTTGAGGTTTCAATTAGACAATGGGAGCTGCAAAGCAAGAAGCTTGTCTTGTTAGGTAACCCATCGGCCTCTGGCAATCCTTTGTCATACCTTAAATTGTTTAAAACAAAGAATACCTTCAAAAAATAAACTACAATAAAATGACAGGAATCAATTAGAGCCTATGGGGGCTACAGGGTGCATGCACCAAGATGAGGAGAAAGGCACTTGCCCTTTGCCATTGCCTGCCATTTTTTAATGGAAGCCCAATCGCTCACTTGCTGGGGAGTGACTTCTCCTTCAAAGGCAAAAGATTAGAGAAGGTCAAGGGAGTGGGGGAGGGGCTACATTTATATTCTATGTGTAATCAGGTGACCAACAACCAATAAGGATTCCAAGATGAAAGCGACTCCTGACATGTTTTACATTTCCTCCGAGGAGGTTTGCTCTAAAGGATATTTCCCTTGAAGCACTTACCTTTACACTTGAGGCAGATGACGTTCTTCTGTAAAGACAGTTTCCGCGTGGCCCCATTGTATAGGTCTTCCAGAGAAACTGAGAGGCAATGGGTGACTGTCTTCCCTGAAAGAAGAGAGAAACAATATGTATATATAAAGCACCTTCTACCACACGTTTACCTGGCTAACCTCGACTGCTTTGCTGTATAAAGCCTGTTTGGAGATTTTAATACAATATATAGCCAAAAGTATACAGACACCCCCCCAAATGACAAAGTGAAGGGACGGCCAGCATAATTCAGCCCACTACCTATGAGTTCAGAACCTCATGGACCTGCCCCCCACCCTGTGAATGCACGATGGATGGGGAAGCAGGACAGTGATGAGCATCTCTCTGCCCGTGTGCTCTCTCCTCCTATCAACATTCTGCTTGTCAACACATAAACAGGTTGGCTACTTCTTCCTCTCCCACTCTATGTTAATATAGTGCAGGGATCTGAACCCCCCGCACACACACACGTTTACCTGGCTAACTTCGACTGCTTTGCTGTATATATAAACCCTGTTTGGAGATCTTGATACACTATACAGCCTAAAGTATACAGGGACGACGTCATTTGGGGGGGGGTCCCTATATACTTTTGGCTGTATAGCACATTAAGATCTCCAAACAGGGTTTATACAGCAAAGCAGTCGAGGTTAGCCAGGTAAATGTGTGTGTGTGGGGGGGGGGGGGGGGGGGGGGGGGGGGGGAGTACAGATCCCTGCACTATATTAACATAGAGTGGGAGATGAAGAAGTAGCCAACCTTTTCATGTTGATAATGAGAATGTTGATAGGAGGAGAGAGAGCAGACATGCAGAGAGATGCTCATCACTGTCCTACTTCTCCTTCCAGTCACAGGGTGGGGGCAGGTCCAAGAGGTTCTAAGCTCAGAGGCAGTGGGCTGAATTATGCTGGAGAAATGATAGAAAAATAGTGCAGCGCTCAAACCGGGGTAAATTATATTATATCAGGTGACATATATATGATTGAAAGTGACTCACACAGCCGTACCTCTTATATACATAAATGGGCTGGTGATGACATATTCTCAAGCAACTAAATCATGCATTTAAGTGACTATATGCATATTGCAATAAATGGTGTCCATGTGCATAAATTTCCATGCAGGTGAAAACTGTAAGTGTCAATCCTCAAATAGGTGAAGTGCCCCCTCACCTTCCTGCCCAGGCCCCTAGGGACCAATGAGCCTTTTGATATATGGTGGGTCTTGGATAGATCCTTCAGATGATGGATCCCTCGAGAAGTAATGGTGGGACTCTCCTCCTCTAATCTCCTATACCAGAGCGTTGGTGGTATCGAAGGTGCCCTTCCCACAGGGTCATCAATAAGGAGAGAGAACTTATATAGTGTAAAACCGCTTTATTATAAGAGTGATAAAATCACAAAACTACTCACACATTCACATGTAAAAACGAGCCTTCACACCACTCAAAGGGTGTACTGTATTCAGGGACTGAGAGCACCAAGATGGCGCCCGCGCCGGATATGACGTCAGAACGTTCGTGTAAGCTCCTCCCACTGGCGTATCTACGCGTTACGTCACTTCAACCACGTGACTTCATCAGGATATACGCCTATCCTGGGTGGAGCCCGGCTCTACAAGGGTCCCGCACTCTCCAGCTTCCGCGCTCAGGATCTCCGTATCTCCGACTCGATCCGATCCGATCCTGAGTGCGGAAGCTGGAGAGTGCGGGACCCTTGTAGAGCCGGGCTCCACCCAGGATAGGCGTATATCCTGATGAAGTCACGTGGTTGAAGTGACGTAACGCGTAGATACGCCAGTGGGAGGAGCTTACACGAACGTTCTGACGTCATATCCGGCGCGGGCGCCATCTTGGTGCTCTCAGTCCCTGAATACAGTACACCCTTTGAGTGGTGTGAAGGCTCGTTTTTACATGTGAATGTGTGAGTAGTTTTTTGTGATTTTATCACTCTTATAATAAAGCGGTTTTACACTATATAAGTTCTCTCTCCTTATTGATGACCCTGTGGGAAGGGCACCTTCGATACCACCAACGCTCTGGTATAGGAGATTAGAGGAGGAGAGTTCCCACCATTACTTCTCGAGGGATCCATCATCTGAAGGATCTATCCAAGACCCACCATATATCAAAAGGCTCATTGGTCCCTAGGGGCCTGGGCAGGAAGGTGAGGGGGCACTTCACCTATTTGAGGATTGACACTTACAGTTTTCACCTGCATGGAAATTTATGCACATGGACACCATTTATTGCAATATGCATATAGTCACTTAAATGCATGATTTAGTTGCTTGAGAATATGTCATCACCAGCCCATTTATGTATATAAGAGGTACGGCTGTGTGAGTCACTTTCAATCATATATATGTCACCTGATATAATATAATTTACCCCGGTTTGAGCGCTGCACTATTTTTCTATCATTTCTCTTGACTAATGTTGGTGTTGTGATTGTGACATCGTCAGTGCTGGCTGCTGAATAGTACCATTATACGTAGTGGCGCAGGAGACAATTCTATATTTCTCTGAATTATGCTGGCCGTCCCTTCACTGGAAACACTTAGTCATTTGGGGGGGGTGTCTGTATACTTTTGGCTATATATTGTATTAAAATCTCCAAACAGGCTTTATACAGCAAAGCAGTCGAGGTTAGCCAGGTAAACGTGAGCAGTTGGTACAGATGCCTGCCCTATAATTTTCAAATAAACAATTTAATTATGACAAAGAAATCCCAACAGGCAATTTAACCCACTTCCTATGATCTCCGACACGCATGGACCCACCCCCAGCCTGGATGATGAAAAGGAGAAGTAGGACAGTGATGAGCTCTCTCTTTCACTCTGCTCCCTCCTCCTATCAGCCTTCACCATTCGACTTGTCGGCACATGAACATATTGGCTGCTTCTTTCTTTCCCAGTCTATTACAGTGCAGGCATCTGTACCCCCCCCCCCCCCTCCTCCACACACACACATTTACCTGGCTAACCTCAACTGCTCTGCTGTAAAAAAAAAATCCTGTTTGGAGATCTGAATACACTATACAGCCAAAATTATATAGATACCCCCAATTTACCAAACTCAGGTGTTTCCAGTGAAGGGACGGCCAGCATGATTCAACCCACTTCCTCTGAGCTCAGACCCTCACAGAACCCTAACCCGGGGGGTTGGGGTTCTGTGAGGGTCCCAAGTTGAGTTCAGGGACTTACATTTATTGACGGAATAATAAATACATGCATTGTTTGTGTCTATATATATATATATATATATATATATATATATATATATATATATAAATAAAGGTCTACATATGGCCTAGCCTGACCGGTCTGAACCTGAAAATTCCATACAGATGGGTGGTCTACTGTCCTGGGGCAACAGCAGAATTATACACCATCCCCCGAGGTAGGTAGACCATGGCCAGTCTATGGAAAAAAGGGTCTATTTATAAAACATTTGCTATGTGAATGTCTCCAGCATTGGCTCACCTGTCACAAAAAAAAAAAATCACAGATTTTGCCTAAAAATTTTTTTTCCCTACAATCAACAGCTCCATCTAGTGGCCATAATGTGTTTTTTCCTGATTGAGGTATTTCCGGGAAAATACCACATTAAAGCCACTAGATGGAGCTGGAAATCCTAGGAAATAAAAAATATTATACAAAATTGCGGCATTATTTTTGCTGAATGAATACTTGTGAGGTTTTGTTTTTGGTTCTTTTTGAATAAAAATGGTCTCTGGTTACGATCAGAGGTATGGGAAAAGCTCATCTGCGGTGAAGAAAGGTGCGTTAGGACCGGCCGAACAAAGTTTCACCCTCTAGAGTCTCACCTTTTCTCTCTCCTCTAGACCGACTTCTGGGTCGGCTTCCGAAGAACAAATCGAAGATGTCCATAGGGAAGCTACATTCCCCTGTTTGGTGGGAGCCGTCCCCGTTGATGGCCGATTCTCCGCCTCGGTCGTACAGCTCCCTCTTGCTAGAGTCGGAGAGGACTTCATACGCTTTGGAGATCTGTTTAAACTACGAAAAAAAAACGTGATAGAAAATTTATTGTTGTTTGCAGCACTTCCTACCTGTCCCATTTCCCCTGTAAAAAAGACCTAACCTACCTGTCCCATCACCCAAGTGGACCCAAGTCCCATCTCCCAAGTCGACCCAAGTCCCATCACCCAAGTCGACCCAAGTCCCATCACCCAAGTCGACCCAAAGTCCCATCACCCAAGTCGACCCAAAGTCCCATCACCCAAGTCGACCCAAAGTCCCATCACCCAAGTGGACCCAAGTCCCATCACCCAAGTGGACCCAAGTCCCATCACCCAAGTGGACCCAAGTCCCATCACCCAAGTGGACCCAAGTCCCATCACCCAAGTGGAACCAAGTCCCATCACCCAAGTGAACCCAATTCCCATCACCAAAGTGAACCCAATTCCCATCACCCAAGTGGACCCAAGTCCCATCTCCCAAGTGGACCCAAGTCCCATCTCCCAAGTGGACAAAGGTGGCTCTGTTCAAGAGCTCTGGTGTCGGAGAATTGGGTTCATCCAGTACTTCCAGGGAGTTAGGTTCCCGGTCCCTCAAGAAGCACTGTGGATCCTTCCACCAGATCTTACATGGCTGCATGACATGGAAGCAACCACAGCACTCCTTGAGGGACCGGGAACCTAATTCCTGGAAGTGCTGGATGAACCCAATTCTCCGGGACCGAAGCTCTTGAAGAGAGCCACCATTGTCCACTTGGGTGATGGGACAGGTAGATTAGGTCTTCTTTATAGGGGACAGGTAGGTACCTGTCCCATCACCCAAGTGGACAATGGTGGCTCTCCAAGAGCTTCAGTCTCGGAGAATTGGGTTCATCCAGCACTTCCAGGAGTTAGGTTCCCGGTCCCTCAAGAAGCACTGTGGTTCCTTCCACCAGTTCTTACATGGCTGCATGACATGGAAGCAACCACAGCACTCCTTGAGGGACCGGGAACCTAATTCCTGAAAGTGCTGGATGAACCCAATTTTCCGGCACCGGAGCTCTTGAAGAGAGCCACCATTGTCTACTTGGGTGATGGGAATTGGGTCCACTTGGGTGATGGGAATTGGGTCCACTTGGGTGATGGGACAGGTAGATTAGGTCCTTATAAGGGAAATGGGACAGGTAGGAAGTGCTGCAAAAAAAAATAAAATAAAATAAAACTAAGAGAAAATGTGTTGCAGCACTTCCTACCTGTCCCATTTCCCTTATAAAGACCTAATCTACCTGTCTCATCACCCAAGTGGACCCCAAGTCCCATCACCCAAGTGGACAATGGTGGCTCTCTTCAAGAGCTCCAGTGCCATAGAATTGGGTTCATCTGGCACTTCCAGGAGTTAGGTTTCCGGTCCCTCAAGAAGCACTGTGGTTCCTTCCACCAGATCTTACATGGCTGCAGGACATGGAAGCAACCGCAGCACTCCTTGAGGGACCAAGAACTTAATTCCTGGAAGTGCTGGATGAACCCAATTCTCCGGCACCGGAGTTCTTGAAGAGCGCCACCCTTGTCTACTTGGGTGATGGGACAGGTAGATTAGGTCTTCTTTATAGGGGACAGGTAGGAAGTGCTGCAAAAAAAAAAATATATCACATTTTCTCATAGTTTAGTTTTTTTTTTTTTGCAGCACTTCCTTCCTGTCCCATTTCCCCTGTAAAGAAGACCTAATCTACCCAAGTGGACCCAAGTCCCATCACCCAAGTGGACCCAAGTCCCATCACCCAAGTGGACCCCAAGTCCCATCACCCAAGTGGACAATGGTGGCTCTCTTCAAGAGCTCCAGTGTCGGAGAATTGGGTTCATCCAGTACTTCCAGGAGTTAGGTTCCCGGTCCCTCAAGAAGCACTGTGGTTCCTTCCACCAAATCTTACATGGCTGCGTGACATGGAAGCAACCACAGGACTCCTTGAGGGACCGGGAACCTAATTCCTGGAATTGCTAGATGAACCCAATTCTCCGGGACCGAAGCTCTTGAAGAGAGCGACCATTGTCCACTTGGGTGATGGGACAGGTAGATTAGGTCTTCTTTATAGGGGACAGGTAGGTACCTGTCCCATCACCCAAGTGGACAATGGTGGCTCTCCAAGAGCTTCGGTCCCGGAGAATCGGGTTCATCCAGCACTTCCAGGAGTTAGGTTCCCGGTCCCTCAAGAAGCACTGTGGTTCCTTCCACCAGATCTTACATGGCTGCATGACATGGAAGCAACCACAGCACTCCGTGAGGAACCGGGAACCTAATTCCTGGAAGTGCTGGATGAACCCAATTCTCCTGGACCAAAGCTCTTGAAGAGAGCCACCATTGTCCACTTGAGTGATGGTACAGGTACTGTAGGTAGGTTAGGTCTTCTTTAAAGGGGAAAGTTTTATTTCGGATCACATTATGGTAGTATACTTACCTTTTCACCTGCGTTGGGGTTCTTATCGGGGTGGTACTTTAAAGCCAGTCGTCTGAATGCTCTCTTTATCTCGTCATAGGAGGCCCTGGGCGGCACACCTAAGATGTCATAATATGCCGTTTCCCTGACCATTTTCTGCAAAAAAAAAAAAAAAAAAAAACAACAACCAATAAATAAATAAAAACACTGTATAATACGTAAAAATAAAATTAAAAAAAAATAGAATATAAAAATACTATATAATACACAATAATAAAATAAAAAAAAACATTAAAATAATAGAATATAAAAATGCTATAAATTAAAATACTATATAATACGGGGAAAAAAAAAATAGAATATAAAAATACTATATAATACACAATAATAAAAATTGAATATAAAAATGCTATAAATAAAAATACTATATAATACACAATAAATAAAATGAAAAAAAAAAAAAAAAAAAGAATAGAATATAAAAATGCTATAAATAAAACTACTATATAATACAGAAAAAAAAAAAATAATAGAATATAAAAATACTATATAATACACAATAAAAAATAAAAAAAATAACAGAATATAAAAAAATGCTATAAAAAAAAAACTACTATATAATACAGAAAATAAAAAAAAATTATAGAATATAAAAATACTATATAATACACAATAAAATAAAAAAAAAAAACAATAATAGAATATAAAAATGCTATAAATAAAAATACTATATAATATGGAAAAAAAAAAAAATAATAGAATACAAAAATACTATATAAAAAAAATAATAATAAAATTTATTTATATATATATATATATATATATATATATATATATATATATATAATATATATATATATATATATATATATATACACACACACACACATAAAAATACTATATAATAACACAGAACAATAAAAAAAAAAACGATAGAAAAAATAATAGAATCTAAAAATACTATAATATAATAAATAAAATAAAAAAAATACAATAAAAAAATATAAATACAGAATACAATAAATAAATATATAAAATTTAAAAAAAAAAAAAAAAAAAGGAAATAAAAAAGGATTTTACGATAAATTGTCCTTCTATGAACACAGGGCACCGTGACCCCAGATAACCCCACAGCAAAGCGCTAGCTCTTTGGCTCAGCTCCCCAATAACGTTTAACGTTGCATGTAGCTATCTCACCCGCCGGTCAGAGTAGCTGGCACTTTGATAACACAATTTACAGCTCATTGGCCGTTTTTTTTTTTTTTAATCACAGCCCCTCCCCCCCCCCCCCCCCCATGGGAATGACATTTTCAGAGACCAGAACACTATGGTGGGCCACACACACTATACAATCTGATTGTACAACCTCCTTCAGTTCTACTATCAACTATGTAGTGCCCGCACCTCCCTGTCCTCATATTACATCATTCTGGTCATTCTGAAGGATTGTATAATGTGTGGCCTGCTTCAGAGAACAGTCAGATGTGCCGGTGTTAGCAGCTTGGAGGTGGAAAATGTTGACTGGCCAATAAAATCTGTCTCTCCTGATCGATGACTTCTCAGGCCCACCCATACAGATTGGTTGCTCTCTGGGGTCTATAGGCTGACCACACACTGAGAGATTGTGATCCGTGGTCAGTCTGAGCTTCAACTGCATAATACAAAGCTCAGCCAATCAGATTTATTGAAGCTGCTTCACCCACAGATCACATGGAATGGACCAACCGAGATCTGGCAGTGTGTGGGGAGCATAGATACATTGTGCCCACTGTGATGAGTATTGATCATTATATCTGGTGTGTATGGCGAGTATTGATCAGTGTAGGATATGTATCGATCAGTGTAGGATATGTATTGATCAGTGTATGATGAGTATTGATCAGTGTATGATGAGTATTGATCAGTGTAGGATATGTATTGATCAGTGTATGATGAGCATTGATCAGTGTATGATGAGCATTGATCAGTGTATGATGAGCATTGATCAGTGTATGATGAGTATTGATCAGTGTAGGATATGTATTGATCAGTGTATGATGAGCATTGATCAGTGTATGATGAGTATTGATCAGTGTATGATGAGTATTGATCAGTGTAGGATATGTATTGATCAGTGTATGATGAGCATTGATCAGTGTATGATGAGTATTGATCATTGTACGATATGCATTGATCAGTATATGATGAGTATTGATCAGTGTATGATATGTATTGATCAGTGTATGATGAGTATTGATCAGTATATGATATGTATTGATCAGTGTATGATAAGTATGGATCAATGTATGATACATATTGATCAGTGTATGATGAGCATTGATCAGTGTATGATGAGCATTGATCAGTGTATGATGAGCATTGATCAGTGTATGATGAGTATTGATCAGTATAGGAGTATCGATCAGTGTATGAGTATTGATCATTGTACGATATGTATTGATCAGTACATGATGAGTATGGATCAGTGTATGATACGTATCGATCAGTGTATGATGAGCATTGATCAGTGTATGATGAGTATCGATCAGTGTATGACTATTGATCACTATATAATATGTATCGATCAGTGTATGAGTATACATCACTATATAATATGTATCGATCAGTGTAGGATATGTATTGATCAGTGTAGGATGCGTATCGATCAGTGTAGGATATGTATTGATCAGTGTAGGATGCGTATCGATCAGTGTATGATATGTATTGATCAGTGTAGGATGCGTATCGATCAGTGTATGATATGTATCGATCAGTGTAGGATGCGTATCGATCAGTGTATGATATGTATTGATCAGTGTATGATGGGTATCGATCAGTGTATGGTCAGTATATGATATGTATCGATCAGTGTATGAGTATTGATCACTATATAATATGTATCAATCAGTGTATGATGAGAATTGATCAGTGTAGGATGCATATTGATCAGTGTAGGATGTGTATCGATCAGTGTATGATGGGTATTGATCAGTGTATGGTCAGTATATGATATGTATCGATCAGTGTATGATATGTATTGATCAGTGTATTATGAGAATTAATCAGTGTATATCTATTGATCAGTGTATGATATGTATTGATCATTGTATGGTCAGCATATGGCATGTATTGATCACTTTTTGAGTACTGATCAGTATATATGTATTGATCACTTTATGAGTATTGATTAATGTATCTAGTATATGGTCAGTACTGATCAGAGTATGGTCAGTATATGATATGTATTGATCAGTGTATTATGAGTATTGATCATTGTATGATGAGTATTGATTAGTGTATGATATATATATCAGTGTATGATGAGTACTGATCAATATATATGTATCAATCAGTGTATAATGAGTATTGATCATTGTATGGTCAGTATATGGCATGTATTGTTCACTTTATGATGAGTATTGATCAGTGTATCTGGTATATATGGTTAGTACTGATCAGAGTATGGTCAGTATATGATATGTATTGATTAGTGTTTGATATGTATTGATTAGTGTATGGTGAGTATTGATCAGTAAATGATATGTATTGATCAGTATATGATGAGTATTGATCAGTGTATGGTCAGTATATGATATGTATTGATCACTTTATGATGAGTACTGATCAGTGTATCCGGGGTATGGCGAGTATTAATCAGTGTATGGTCAGTGCTGATGGGTACATTGTAACCATGCATCTATCACTGTACCCAGTGAGTATTAATCTTGTGAGTCTATTGGGTATTGATCAGTATTGGTATATACACTGTATCCTTGTATCACTCGCAAGATCCGGTGTATAGTGAGTATTGATAAGTCTATGCTCAGTATTGATGTATACATTGTACCCATGTATCTAGTGTACGATGAGTATTGATCATCGTACTCAGTGTATGGTGAATATTGATCATCGATACATTGTATCCTGTGTGTGGGGGAGGGGGGTATGGGTGGATACATTGTATCCAGTGCTTGGGGGGGGGGTATTGGTGGATACATTGTATCCGGTGTATGGGGCGGGTAATCAGTGGATACATTGTATCCTGTGTATGGGGGAGGGGGGGGTATCGGTGGATACATTGCAATCGGTGTATGGGGGGGGGGGGGTGTTGGTGGATACATTGTATTCGGTGTATGGGGGGGGGGGGGGGGGGTGTTGGTGGATACATTGTATTCGGTGTATGGGGGGTGGGTGTTGGTGGATACATTGTATTCGGTGTATGGGGGGTGGGTGTTGGTGGATACATTGTATTCGGTGTATGGGGGGTGGGTGTTGGTGGATACATTGTATTCGGTGTATGGGGGGGGTGTTGGTGGATACATTGTATTCGGTGTATGGGGGGGAGTTGGTGGATACATTGTATTCGGTGTATGGGGGGGTGTTGGTGGATACATTGTATTCGGTGTATGGGGGGGTGTTGGTGGATACATTGTATTCAGTGTATGGGGGGGTGTTGGTGGATACATTGTATTCAGTGTATGGGGGGGTGTTGGTGGATACATTGTATTCAGTGTATGGGGGGGGGTGTTGGTGGATACATTGTATTCAGTGTATGGGGGGGGGGGGTGTTGGTGGATACATTGTATTCGGTGTATGGGGGGGTGTTGGTGGATACATTGTATTCGGGTGTATGGGGGGGTGTTGGTGGATACATTGTATTCGGTGTATGGGGGGGTGTTGGTGGATACATTGTATTCGGTGTATGGGGGGGTGTTGGTGGATACATTGTATTCGGTGTATGGGGGGGGGGGGGTGTTGGTGGATACATTTTATCTGGTGTATGGGGGGGGATGTTGGTGGATACATTGTATTCAGTGTATGGGGGGGGGGGGGTGTTGGTGGATACATTGTATTCAGTGTATGGGGGGGGGGGGGGTGTTGGTGGATACATTGTATTCAGTGTATGGGGGGGGTGGATACATTTTATCTGGTGTATGGGGGGGGGGGGTGTTGGTGGATACATTGTATTCAGTGTATGGGGGGGGGGGGGGGGTGTTGGTGGATACATTGTATTCAGTGTATGGGGGGGGGGGGGGGGGGTGTTGGTGGATACATTTTATCTGGTGTATGGGGGGGGGGTGGGTGTTGGTGGATACATTTTATCTGGTGTATGGGGGGGGTATCTGTGGATACATTGTATGACCGATCAGGGGGTGCAGCAGATATCGATCAGA